TATTCTCAACGAAACCAAAAATAAACAAATATTTTGTTGAAAAACTTTTGGCTCATTCGTTATTATCGAATAAATTTGATCTAACCTGAAGTACTCGGTAATCCGGATGATGTTTTTGCCCATTTTTCAACATGATTCCACATATCATTATGACATGCAAGAAAACCTTGTCGAATAGCTGATAATATTAATTGATCATTTTGATTTTCATCGGAAGTATTTGGCCAAAAATCATCTTGTTCAAGAATATGTTGACATAAACTTTGTCGTGCATATTCAGCTGCTTCTTTACCACCATGACCATCGAATATACCAAAATAAGCAAGAGATATTGGACTTTCTTTATCTGAAGGATTTAAACGTTGAAGAGCAATTGCATACGCATCTTCTACAAAAAAAAAAAAATTCTTTGATTATTATTATTATATCAATAAAAAGAATTTATCTTGCCCATATATTTTCGACCACCTAATAAAGAAAAACAAACGAATTATTTATTATAGAATAAAGAAATAAAATGAATAATCTTTACCTTGATTACTGTTTGTCGTTATACGTAAATTAACTTGAACACAATCGTTCATTTTGTTCATTTTATTATCTGTTCAAATGAATTTATTTATATAAGGAAAGAAAAAGTAATTTTAATATGGTTTAGATGATTAATATTCTATTGTAGTTGGTTTTGATCATTCGTTTATAAATATCAGAAAAAGAAAAAAGGAAAGAAAACAAAGATAAAAAAAAATTTAATGACATAAATATACTTCTATTTTCAGAGGCGTAACTTTTCTTTTTCTTTTTTCTTTTTTATTCTTTGATCTATTTACGTTATGTTGAATCACAAATGTCAGAGGAAATTTTGAAAAAAAAACATTGGTGAAAAATTAATAACCAATCAAAAGATTCAAATCTATTTTTAGACATAATTCACATATGCATTTTGTTCCTGTAGTCTTTCTTTATTGGTTAATCAAATCAGAACGTATTGCTTACTTATTTAATTTAATACAATTCAACCGAAAAATAGAAATCTCATTTCGATTATCATCAATGAAGATATTATTTGTACTTTAGATTTTGATGAGCAACGACGAAAAAATTTCGTTGGATAAGAACATGTTTCAACAAGTAAATAATCTTACCTCTTTTTTTTTTTCTTTTGTTTTCTCAATTGATTTGATTATTTAATATAGATGTCTTCATCTCATTCTCAATTTCATACACCTACTAGTTCTTCTTCAGCAAATAATCAAGATGAATTACTAGCTAGACGAAAATTAGAACAAAAACGTCGTTTTCAACAAAAACAAGGAAATACTCCTACAGATGTTGATTCACTTATGCAATCAATGTTTTCTGATTTAAAATTACAATCTAAAACAACAATACAAAATACAGAAGGTAGACAAAAAAAATATATTTCTAATTTTAAACCTTTTTTTTTTTTTGTTTATTGTTTTATTTTAGAAGTAAAAAAATCAGTATTACAAATTTCAGGTATTGATTTTTTTTTGCGTTGTTTGATTATAATCATAATATTTTCTCTATAAGAATTAACAAATAATTCTGTTATTCATCATTCTCAACCTCAACAAACTCATACAGCAGCTCCTGGTGCAGCTGATTGGTCGAAAATAGCATTTGATGATGACTTAACTAGAGTATTTAATCAAGAAGAAAAAATTTCAAACATTCCAGCAATAAATTCAGAACAACCGTCCATGTTACATCATTCCAACGAACAGTCCTCATCATTTACTAAATTTGGTAAAAAAAAATGAAATTGTTTTTTGTTTTTTAATTGAATTTTATATAAAAAGAATCTAAATTTTTATTTATTATAGTTTATCCATCTTGGTGTTCACAGCCAATTGTCTTTCTTCCACTTGTTTATCAACAAGTATTTGAAGCATCATGTATATCTAATAATATTCAAACATCTGTTTTATATCCAATTCTTCTTTTATCTGGTCTTAGACAAGATCAACTTAGTCAAATTTGGTCTCAAGTTAATTTACATCAACCAGGAACTTTAATTAAAGAAGAACTTTTTATGGCATTAGCACTTATTGCATTAGCACAGAACAGTAATGGACAAATTTTTTCGAATGAACGATTATATCATTTAACTGAATATCCTATACCACATTTTCAAATTCAACAAAGACAACAACCACCTCCTCCTCCTGCTCCGGCTTATCAACAAGAAGATTTTGCTGATTTTACAGCATTTGAACAAAATACAGATGATGGTCATGTAACTGTTCCTATTGATTTTAATGAAAATAATTTATATCCACCAGATATAAAAGCATTGTCATCGGAAACACAATCGATTGCAAGTTTAGATTTACCAATGCCAACAATTCATACAAATTATCAAGATGATACTAGTCAAAAAGGAATTAGTGATAATATTTCATTTTCTTCATTAAATAATAATGATATTGTACCAGCAGCTGATACACAAAGTTTACATTCAATCAATTCATCTGAACCTTCCAAATTAGGTTAATATTATTTGTATTATCATACATGCAATATATTGAGAGTAGTTTAATCTAGATTAAGTCACGAAAACTTTATTCATATTCAAGATTAATTGAGAATAAGGAGAAAAAACAGACAAGAGTTCATCATATGTATTGCAAATTGTTATCAGTAGTTAATAAATTATTGACTTAGAATAATATTTAAAAAAAGGGGACAAAAATTTAAGATACCTTTTATTTTTTAAAGATGATAGGTTTAGTTTTATAACTTTTTTTTCATACTGATAGTTTTACTTCATGAGAAAAGTTCTCCAACTGATACATTGCTTTTCACTCGAGACTATGTGCATTATGTAGACTCGACTCAAAAGTAATTCACTACTTAAAGGTAGAGTCCATCGAGTCCGACTCCAAAAATTCTTGGACCCAATGGGTTCTACTTGAAGGACCTCTTTTGTCAATGGACAAAAGTTTAGAGCACATTTTATATTTCATTAGTTTTTCGCTGTTAAATAATCATTATAAAACTTTTCTATATAATGTTCGATGCAAAATTTACTAGGCTATAGTATGACAAAAAGTATTTTCTAAACATTACTAATTATTAATGATTACCATTTAAATGATCAGTAAAAAAATATGTGAATAGTCAGTACTAGAATTATCAGTAATTAATTGTAAAATGGTCAGTTTATTAAATATAAGAGTAGTAAAAAAGAATTCAATTTATATCAGTAAAGAATACATATTTGTTCAGTAAAAAAATAAGATTCACTAGTAGAAAGTAAATTTAAATAAATCCAAGAACTACAGAATAAATAAGAGGAAAGTTGAAGAATAACTGAAAAAAAATGAAAGTTGAATTATTGTATTAGTAAAGCAGATTTTGACCTTTCTGATCTATCTCTTTTTTCTTTTCTCACCAATTGGCTCTGTTTTTGCTGCTAGTGATGATTTACAATATTTCAAATGATTAGCCATAACTATAGTGTGTTTGCATATATAATTTTTAAAAAGAGTTGGACAGTTGCATTTCGATATTTTTCAATGTGAACCGTTTTCCATTTCCATACGCCAAATATCATATGATTTTTTGAATTGATTAAATATTGTCCATCATTTTTGTTTTATATTTATTTAAATCAGCTTGTGTAATCGATTGTAAATCATAAGGCGGTATATAATATTTGCTCGTAGAATTATTTGCCATACAAAATTATATCTTATATTGATTTAGTTCATTGATATGATAAAGTTTATAATTCTAAAGATATTGTTAGTTCTATAGGATATATTCTTGCATTAATTGAGGCTGAATTTCGTTCGATTGATCAATTATTGATAATAATATTTGAAGATTTTGTTAAAAATCTTGATAAAATATGGTATTCTCGAAACATTCTATCATTTGTCATTGTTTTATTGGTTTGCTTCTAGGACATTGTTTGCACTTGATGCATACAGTTGTATACCTTCATACCAATCATCATTTGATTTGAATCATTCATTAGGAAATGCATATTGTTTTAACTCAATATTTTGATTCCCTTTTATTTTTAGAGTTCTTTTATGTCATAATTTTCTTCTACTACCTCTTCATCTGATATATTGCTTTCATATCTGAGAAACTTGTAAATATTTATACATGAGGATAGATGAAGACAACGACCAGGGAAGAAGTCAAGAAGGTGCTTTCCTTTTGTTTTAGATAATGAGCAATAAAAAGAATTAAAACAACGATCGTTCTTATTCACAAAATATGTAGGTCAAAAAAATGATAACATACGTAGAACAGCTAAAGGAGAAAGGAAAAGAAAAACAAAAGCGATTTACTCTATAATCATTTCGATTGTTATATAGACTCTTTAATATAATCGATTGTAAATAAATTGTATTTACTGATTTTTAAATTTATTTAGAAATCAAATGAATTAATAACTGATAATTTCATTTATTTTACTGACTACAAACCATATTCCCATTATTAATTACACTTAATTGATATTGATTTATTTAATAAAAAAAAAGAAAGATTCTGTTTCAATATTCAATTAATAAGTACATTTGTGGAAAGACCATTAAAATCTATACAAAATAATATAGAATTTTCGTGAAAATAATTCATCTTAGTATGAAAGCGACAATTAGTCGTATGTTTGACAGAAGTATAGTTCGTATTTCATTTCTCACAAATCTCAATTTGCAGACATGTTATTCAACCACATACAGTACCGTGCGAAGATAAGAATGGCATGTGCGAAATAAGGATGTATTCCATGGAATGGATTTGTAGATGATCTCATTGATAAATAGTAATTAAATGCTGACATTCACATTTTGAATTCATCGAAATATTACGAAAACACGAGAACTATATTCATTATCGAATGACGAAGACAGAAGCTCCAAAATAAGGAAAAATTATACAGAATAATGAGAAATTTCGTAAATAACTACTACTTACTCTCATGTAAAGTTTCATGCCTAATTAGAAAAAATTACTAAATATTCATATTTATACTCATATCTGATGTTTCTGGTCTTTGAATAGATTGTTAGTTATTTTCTTAACATCTTTGAGTTCTTTCTCCATAATGCTAAGAAAATTCTTTTGCCAATTTAATTTTTCAACATTACAACCAATTGGCGTAGATCCGCTTGTAATGAATATAGTAACCCATACTATTACCATAGATGTCCATGACGGCTGAAAATCTTGCACTACGGTGATAACCAAGAAAAGTTACCGCGCCGCTAAGTACTGTAAAAACAGTTGCCGCAGCCACAATGATATTCAAAAAATTCTTTTGATTTTCAAGTCTGTGACTGATTTGAACTAGAATTGCATCTGCTACTCGATCAGATTTGATAAGTCTTACAGTATCACATA